TGTAGTAAATTACTATCTCGCTAAATGAGCTGGGAAAAATAATTTTTCCTTTTATTTTGTGGCAACATTAAATTCAGAATTTTGGGGCCTTATTTGGGATAATGTCTTTTGGAATCTGATTTCTTTCAAAGGTTCATCGAGGTTGATATTGAGACAGCAATGCAACGAGTTTTAAAGAGACATATATTGACTGGTATGCATTTGTATATTGTTAATCAACCACTTGTTAACATGCATGATGAAAACAATTAGTGTGTGTTGATTTTATTTCTGTCTATTGTAGGAAAACCTCCAGATGTTGCTAAATGGCGGGTAAGCTTGATGTCATGGTGCTTATAACTTCCATTGATGGTTTATTGATTCTTGTCTATTACTGGTTCCACATTACTTAATGTACCCCTAAGTTTTTTGGTTTTTTAAAACTTACATGACCAAATTAATCATGCAGATAGAGTACAATGACCGGCCTAATGCAGAGCTAATTGACAAGTCCAAGAAAAATGCGGATTTGTTAATCAAGTCAATTGATTTCTGAAGTTGAATCCCATCTATAATTAGAAGAGAGAAGGAATTGACAAGTTCAGTTCAATCGTGTTCACCATTTGAAGCAAAATGATGAATGACAGTCTAATGGCGAAGTCATGAACAAGTTGAATAAAAATGCAGATACTGACTTGTTTAAGTTAAGGTGACTCGGACAAGAAGAGTAGGAAGCGACTGCTGGGTTAGTGAATCTTGTTTCTTCTAAAGTTAATAATGAAAAGTAGTAAATTTATTTATTTATTTTTGGTTATACAAATGGAAACAGTACGATTGCTTTTGTCATTATGTAGTTTTACGCTGTATTTGGTTAGGAGATTTGGAGAGGGATTTAGAAATGAAAAGGAAAAATGTGTGTGAAACTAGGTAAAATGTAGGTATGTTTTATTCATATTTCACCTATTTTTTCCATTTTTCTTTCCAAATCTCTCTCCAAATTCCCCAACCAAACACAGCATTAATGTATATATTGTAAGTTATTGATCAAGAATTTGAAACCGTTTATATTTCTTTCTTATTGCAAAAGTGGCATAGATAGTGCAACTTCAAAATGGAATAGTATAATAATTGTTTATAAAATGTTGCATGACAATGACCATCAAAATATGTCAGCCAGTTATGGTCCATCAGCAAACATAACAAACCATATATATATATATATATTAGCTGTTTGTGCAAAATCCGATGTATTTCTAATTTCAAATTAAAAAAAAAACTTGAACATGTATGCTAATTGAAGTGTAGACTTTTATATAATAAAATAAATATATAATAGATTGAATTGTCTGTGGACATATTTAAGTTTGAGCAGCTCATTTACTATAAGTTCTGTTTCGATTATCTATTCTATTAAATTTTTAGACATCTATCTCTAAATCATTTATGAGAAAAATCTATATTAATTCAATCATATAAATTCTTTATATTTGTCTTAAAAAATATTAGAGGATAAGTATGATTTTTAAAAGAGATTATTTATTTTTTAACAAGAAATATGATGAACTTATTACGTAACTATGATTATCATATCAATTTATTTATTTTTTGATATACACAAACGAAATTAGAAATTAAATATATTAAGATACCAAAGTGAGACCCTTGGTGGATCCACCGATCCAAATTGAACTAATGAATCCTGTTCACTTGTGGACGGGAGATATCCAACCATACACAACTTTATGAGTAATGTTATCTGTTACAGAAAAATTATACAAAAAATAAATAAAGAATAACAAGTGTTGATTTTTTTTTTAAATTTATAATTTAAGAAAAATGCCCATCAAAATGACTTAAATTCTTAAAAATGACAATGGCATATTGTTCTAGTCATAAATTTTATATAAAAATTCTATAAAAAAACAAACTTTTCGTAATTTTATATATATGAAGAAAGCATGGACGATGAGTGAATATGCATGGCAATGGCAATATTTTGGACAAGTCTATAAAATAAACCAACCTACCAACCAAACAGATGGGCATTAATAAATAAATAAGTACCCTGTTGGCATATGCACATGTTCTTGCCCCCTCTTTGTACAAGTTCATGAAACATATTCATTCATTTCTTACTTTAGTAGAAAATTTTCATCTGCACTAAATAAAACAAGAATCCTAGAAAGGGAGATAAAAAATAAATAATTGAAAGAACAAAGGCATATAATAATTAGCCATCAATCAACAAGAAGTACATTATTATTACAATTATTATTAAGCAAGCAATTAGTACTACTAAATTCAATTAGCAAGACAAATGCAAAGTCTTGGAACACAAGAGAACTTACTGTTTTTTCAAAATTAATACACAAATTATATATATATATATTTTGCATTAATACAAACCATAATACACGCTCAATCGCCCTAGTCAATCATCTCATTTGCTCATTGTCGCCTTTTTTTTTCTTTTCTTTTGTCGCGATGGATTCAAGAAGATCAAGGGAGAAGGCTGGTGGTGATTACTACCTACTTCAGCTTGTTCTTGCATTTTTCCATGGCCCTTGGTGCTGAAATTCCAATTATTAATACACATTAATAACATAAATTTTCACAAAACTATACACAAAATAAACTTATAATATGTAGGCTAACTTCTACTACTAATTTTAATCCAATGGAACTAACCGAGTCCTTTGGCCTCCGTTCCTTTCATTATACGCAGGCGTTTGCAAGAATTCATGAACATTCTGATTGAGATCACAAATTAAGCAATTAATATACAATGTGTATGATATGAGAAAATAATATACACGGGTGAATTTTTATCAGATTTTATTATCATTTTTTTAAGATAATAGTAGTCCTGTACTTTGGTCTTTATGTTTTTTTAGTTCCTGCAATTTCCATTGGCTCGATTTTGACCTGAATTTATAACTTTGTCTCAATTTGGTCTAATTGATCTCAACTTTTAACATTTTTTGTAGAAAATATGCATATGAATGTCATGTGTCATATCTATAAAAACAAAATTATAAAAACGTATTCAACTCAGTGAATTAATCTTTACCAATTTAGTGACAATTTTTTTAAAAAAACACTAACAACATTATCAATTGGATCAAATTGACATAAAATTTAAAATGAATATTCAAAATTAAGCCAATTAATAGTGTAGGACCAAAATAACACAAGGAATAAAATATAGGAATTACTAGTATAATTTACTCTAAATTTTATTATCATTAGATAGACAGATAGTGGAGCTACATTAATAAATATGAGTGGGCTCCAATACCTTTATATTTAGTGATAATTTTTTTTAAAAACAAAATACATGTTTAAATATAGTATTTACTCTTTGATTTAGATAAATATTTGTTGAATTGCTTTGATATCATTAATTAGATTGTTTTGATTTATTAGTGAAAATATGTAAGGAAATTACTCCCAAGGGACATCGCCAAGGAGCATCCAATCACCATCAATGTCTTCATAGGTTGGGACATAATCAGAACCACTCAAAAGATCTATCAGCCTTCTCTCATTCATGAAATCTTTCATCCCTTGGGATCCACAGTTTCCTTCATCAACAAAACAACCATCCGCAACAATTAATTAATTAATTAATTTTTTTTAAGTCAAGAATAATCACCATAATTTTAAAATAAATAAATAAAAATTCTTCACTTAAGTGTCGTTTGGTAACATTTACAATAAAAAAAAATCAAATATTAAGGCCTGGTTTGGGTACTCCAGAAAAATTTAAAAAGCCAAAAAATTATTTAAAAAGTTAAAAAATCATCACTATTCACCCAAAAAAAATATTAAAAAATTAATTTTACACAATCTTTCTTTTCAAACAATCATAATGGCAGAGTAGGGGGAGCATTGTTGTGGGGAAAATTGCACTTATTTATGTGTACACATAACATGGTGTTGTTCGGTCCGTGGGGGCCATCACAGGTCCCGTTTTAATAATCTAAACCGTTCAATGTGTAAATCTCGTTGAGTATTACATACCTGCCAAACATCACATTGATCGGATATCGGTAACTATATGATCAAATCAATTAAAATTTATAAAATAGATAGTGTTATAGTTAATGGTTGAACAAAAATTAATCCAATCAGATAGCTATCGATATCCGATCAACGTGATTTTTTAAAAGCATATATTACTCGATGAGTTCTACACATCGAACGATTTCGATTAGCAAAACAGGACCCGTGATAAGCCCTTATAGGCCGAACAACACCTTCAATTCACTACTTAAAAAGCAGGAAATCATCTCCCCTCCCCCCTCTCTGCACCCACTGTCCCACACCGTACAGCTATTCCATCACTTCCATCACAATATTCTCTTACACACTTATTTATATAATTTTTTAAAATACATTTTTTTCATAAAAAATAAAAAAATTAACTCAAACATTCATATTTTTTTCCTCAACTTTATAATCTAAAAAAACAAAAAATACACTTATTTAAAACATTCTAAACAACTCCTTAAGATCTCCAAAAATGTTAGAAAAAACACTAAATGTTAGAAAAATATCTGAATCCTTGAGTAAAAGGGTTCGGATCTCAAATTTAGAAAAAACAATAGTGTTGTGTGCTTAAGTTCGGTTAGTTTGACAATAAGCCTAAAAAATTTATACCCAAGACTTGACCTTAGATTTGACTTAGAGGTGGTTCAACCATTACTTTATGTTAAAGCCCAAAAAAATTCAAAAAAATATTATTGCCACAGGCACCATAAAATTAAGATTTTTTTTCTTTCTTATATTAAGATCTCCAAAAATGTTAGGCCACAATTAGGTTTGACCGAATGGCTATAAAAAATCTCATCCCAAATCTAGCCTTAAAATAATCTGAACTAAAAAAAAAAAAATTCACTAAAGTTTTTTACAAGTGTTACAAAATAAATAAATAAATAAATACGGTCGTTAACAAATAAAATCTGAAATATTTATGTCATATTTGGTTTGGTTTTCAGAAACTTACTTCAAAAATATTTTTAAAAAATTAAAAATTAATTTAGTGAAAGAAATAAATTAAAAAAAAAAACGCTTATCATTTTTATATAATTTTATCTTTTGAGAGGTTAGAAATAATTTTTAATTATTATTTTTTATTTTATTAAACTAGTTTCTATTTTTTCAAAAAAAATTGTGAAAAAGAAACCAAACATAGTCTTAATTTCTACAAATTAAATCCGACCTTTTAAACTAGTCTCAATCTGAATCCGAATTACTAAATGCCCATAATGTTAATTGAAAAGCTATTCATAAAAGCTAAAAGTCAATTAAACAAAGTACTAGTAAAATAGGTGTTTTAAAAACTTGCTTATAACAATTATTAATCCAAATGTTCATCAATGTACAATGTATCCAACTTTTATTCGATCCAACTTAGTTTTTTTTATTTTATTTTATTTTTTTGTCCATGTGAAGGAAAGAGGAACTCAGGAATCGATCCTAGGACAATGAGCTGGCTCAAGTGATTTCTTAACCTAATTCTAGTTGTTTGGTTCTAGAAGTTCAAGCTTGCCCCAAACCAAACACCTTCCATTGACATGGCCCAATCTTTCTAGGATTATATTTTATGCTTGGTGCCCTTTCTCATTTCACTTTCCTTTCAATCCCATATGTGGTTCACAAAAGAATTGTCAATTTGAACAATAAAATTCAAACTACTTTTTCTTTCTTTCTTTCTTTCTTTTTTTTTAAAAAAAAGAGTTAATTATAAGTTTTGTAATATTTTAATCTCTAATATTTAAATTATGCCAATTTAATTCCCAATATATATATAAAAAAATGCTTCAATTTTCAAATCTAATTCCATCAATAGACGACGTTAAAGTGACAGATAAATGTGTAATTTTAGAAACCAAAATGACACATAACATATTTTGAAGATTAAAAATATAATTTTTTAAAGTGACTTTGCACATTAATTATACAAATTACATAATTCTAGAATAAAGTATATATATATATATATATATTTAAGTGAGTTTCTACATTTAGTACTGACTTTAACAGCATCTATTAACAAAGTTAGGTTGGAATATCAAATTGAAATGCTTTCTATATATTAGAGATTAAATTGTAATAATTTAAATATTAAGAACTAAAATAACACAGATAACATATTTTAAATTAAAAATTGTAATTAACCCTTAAAAAAAAGAAAAGAAAAGTCTAAGACAGGCAAATAATGGATGGGTGGTTGGTTCTATTCTTTTTGATGAGCATGATTGAAAAATAGACCCTTCAATGAACATCACCCTCCAAGGACCAACACTCACAAAATTTCACATCTAAAAAGATTACCACTTTGTGGTTGGACTGTAGTCCTACATTCATTTTTTGGAAGGACCACGTCGGGTTGGATTGGGAAGAATTTTTTTAGTTTGATTTTTTTATTTTTTTGGTTAATTTAGGTTGGGTAAATTAATTTCCTTTGGAAAGAATTTTTTTAACTTTCTAAATTTTTTTACTTTTTTTGTGAGAAAAAGTAAAATGATTATGATATAAACGTGACATTTTGTCTTATTAACTTATTTAGTCTATTTTACTTTTTTATACTTTTTAATCCCAACCACCTTCGTAAACGGAGATAAAGTTTTCATTTCATTAACAATCCACTCAATGATGAACAAGTGTCTTTTATAGGGACACACCGATATATGGGATTGGCTTTCCTCCGGTCCGTGATTGGGCTGAAGGGTGCTGTTGGGCCCGTGGGGGTTTACTATGGGTCTTGTTTTAATAATTCGAACAGTTCAATGTGTAGAACTCGTTAAGTACTATATATCTGTAAAAAATCACGTTAATCAAATATTGATAGCTATTTCATCATATCAGATTTCTATAAAGCGTTTATTTTTTCACAGTCCATTTTTTTTTTGTACAAAACTGATTTGATCACGTAACTATCGATATTGATATCAGATCAATATGATTTTTTATAATTATAGATTACTCGACGAGTTTTATATATTAAACAGTTCAGATTATCAAAATTGAATCCATGGTTAGCTCTCACAGACCCAACAACACCCTCCAATCCGATCACCGATGGAGGGAAGCCAAACCCCGATATATTCCCCATAACTAAGGCCCACAATTCTAGTGCCCTAGAGCCTTCGGGCCATGTAATGAAGTGTACGGTCCAACTGCTTGAATTTAAAACTAAGTAAGATGTGACATATTTATTTGAATCACATACATTAATAGAAAAGTTGTTTTATATTGATTTTAAACCTAAATTACTAAATTATCAAAATAAAATAATTGTTGAGAGATCTATGACAGAAGATATTAATATCTCATTGTAACTTTATGTATGACAATACTTATCCACCGTAGAGTGCTTAAAATCTGTACTAAAATATAAAAGTAAAAGTATAATTCAATTTTGTGTGTTTGATATATTTGTTAATTTAGTACGTCTATAGCTACTCCAATAGACAATTTGTGTATTATAGGATGTGTTATACAAAAGTGGATGCCACTTGATTGTGTAAAATTGGAAGAATAAAATGTCAAATGTATGTGGGATTTCCCCACTATAGAAAATGAGAAATTTTAATATACATTCTTTTAAAAAGGTGTATTATATGCGCTTTTACCTATGTTATTTTCTTTTTTTAGTTATAACTAATTTTCTTCTTTTTTTTGATCAGTAAAAAACTTTATTGATAGCATCAAAACATGCATACATATGGATTATATCAATAAAGCAAAGGCCAAGAGCAAAAAGCATCATAGTGTATTCTATCATCCCAACTATGTTGACACCAAAAGAAACACCAAATAATTTGCTAGCTCAAAGCCAAAGGGTTGGAGAGAGACCAAACCCAACAAAACAAAACAACACCAAAACAATCTAACAACACTCAACAAACAAAACAAGAAAAAAAATACACCCATAGCAGTAGCTCAAAACTCCTAAACGGCAGCTCATCAGCATACACTAGAATAAATCATGGAAACAACATCCAATACTCCTCCATACCAGAATGAGCTCATGAAGATCCTAAACACCACCTGACTTGTTGAAAATTAAACACGACATCATTGATTGAAAATGAGGCACCCCTTAATTGAGTTTTCATCCAAATTGCTATCCTCGCCTTGATACACTCACACACATCATGAAAATTGAGCTAAACTGCCTTAAACACACACTCATTTCTATATCTCCACACAGACCACAACATTGTTACATTATAACTAATTTTCTTCTTTAGTTATGATATTATTTTAGTTATGACTCATGAGTTCTTTAATTATGTCTCGTGTTGTGTTTACTTAGGATATATATATATATATTTTATAGTCATGACTCAGAAAATTGAAATTATAATATATATATTTTTTAATTATGACTAAGAAAATGATGTACATCATAGAGTTTATATATATATATATATATTATATGCATTGTGGTTCGCTTATGCCTTGCCACAAGCAACACAAACTTTGTTGATTGACAAAAATAGCAATTCCAATGGGATCTAGATTCTCTATAGCACTTTCTTCATTCAACAGTTGATTTAAGGGTCAATTCAACAACGGGTCATTATCACTAGTTATGACATTTGGATCAACAACTAGATAAATAAAGTATTAAAGAGGATTCTCCTTCGTTCCAATGGAAAAGGGGTACAAACACTTTCGCTGTGGATGCTCTTATAGGTACACCAAATTAAACTAGGATTACTTACACTTTTGTATTATTATACTAAAACTTTGGCCTTTCATTTTAAATTAGATAGTCAACTTCTTAAATTTTGAATTAAATTACAATCACCTGTTTGGTTTTCAGTTTCAAAAATAATTTTTTGAGTTTTTAATTCGTATTTTTATATTTTTAATGATTTTTAAAAATATTTTAATCAATTTTTTTTTTAGTTTTTAGATTCGCTTAATCTTAATATACTTAAAAAGTAAAAAATTTATACAAAAATCTTTAAAAAATTCATTGAATACAACAAAATACGAAAATGTATATTTCATATTATATATATATATATATATATTTGGTGTATTTGTTGAATTTTTTATATTTTTTTTCACAAATATTATACTTTTTAAGTATATTTAGATTAGGTGTATTTAAAAAAAATTGCCTGAAATATTAAAAAAATTCACTAAAAAGTTTAAAAATTAGACTCAATTTTCTAGAACCAAACATGGTGAGTATCACTCACCTGTCCATTTAATATTAATTATATAATTGTAAATCTCATAAAAAATACATGGATATAGAAATTTTTGATTTGATTATGTGGTGTTTTTTGCCCTTGCATAATATCATCAACATTCCAATGACAACCTCAAAAAGCAGAAGGATAGGGATGGTGCCAAGGCCAACAACAAGAATGGAGTCCACAGTTGGTCCAATCTCAACTCAAAAGGCATCAAATTGGAGAATCAAATGGGTTCTTCATCTACACTGTTTGTGTGGTGTTGACTTGAGCACAACCCCCCACGTTTTCTTTTCTTTTTTTTTTTTTTTAAAGTTTAAAACTCAAGAACCAAGCCTAGACTAGAAGTTACAAAAACAAAAGAATAGAAAGGAAAGAGACTTTCTAAATTATCAATGAAATTATGAAATGGGCCAAAACCATAAAGAAACAAATACATCTTTTCTGGGTATTCTTGTATTCACATTTTTTTTTGGGTACAATTTTAAAGATAGAGAAGACCCACCTTTGTTAACGTTAGGGTTAGCAACGTGATACAAGTCTCTTGAGGGTGAACCACAGCGACTTACATTTACACCAAAGCCCTAGGAGACCCGCCTCTCGTATGGCCTGTGTAGCTAGCATTGTGCTTTTGGCTTTTAATGTTTTAAGTTTTTCTTCTAATTTGCTTTAGAAGTTAACTTGTGTTTAAAATTAAATAGAAAATGACACATTAATAATTATGTGACATAAAAATATTTTATTATATATAATTCACATTTTTAACACAAATCAAAATTCTAATATAATAATTTATTTTTTATGTTATGTGGTATCTAACGTGACAGTTTCGGTTTAATTTTGAACAAAAGTTAATTTTATAAGTAAATTGATAACAACTTGAAACATAAAAGGACAAAATGAAAGGAAAATAAATAAATAAATAAATCAAGGATTAAAAAAATGATAACATAAAGAGGATAAAGTATAGTTTACCCTATGTACACGTGATCCAAATCTATTAAAATCTACTTTACTTTTTAACATATTGTACTCTCACTTATCCAAATTTTGTTCTTACTAGCAGTCTTATTTGTGGTCATGAATCTAACCACTGTTAGTTGTTACTGTGCTAATAATACCTTCATGAAGCCTATAAATGTTGGAGTTTGGAGAGCAATTAGGAGCACTTTGAAAAAAGACTCTTTTCTAAGAAGATGGAAACGATTGATAAGAAAGCTAGCCATGTTGAGAAGACAAAGGGTGGATTGGTCACCATGCCCTTCATTTTTGGTAAGCTTTTTTCTTTTGTTTACAATTGAAATGCTTCTTTCTTAAGCAATTGGATTGTTTCAGTTGGCCAGAGTTTATGCTTTTCATGTGAGAAGTCATAAATTTGAATCTTAAAAAATAGATCAATGTTTTAGTATTTTAATTTTTCTCCTCTACTCAAGATATACTCAGTCTTATGAGTAATTTTTCTATTGTTGAAAATTTCATACTGACTATGTATTCAACCAATAATAAGAGGCTAAATAATTACAAAGTTTTAAAAATAATAAAATGATGAACACATTATAAAATTTCATTAGATGAACATATAGTCACGTGATGCTCTGGACTCTATATGATAATTTTTGCAACCTTAAGCTTTGACTTATATGTGAGACAGAGCACTGCATGCATTCAAAAATTAGTCAAAACGAAGTCTTCAACACCTTTGCAAACACAAAAAAAAAAATACTTTCTTCTTTTTCTTCTTCTTCTTCTATATTAGTGCAAATGATCTTATTTTGTGTTTTGATTGTGATGTTTGTTTGTGTTGGTTGTTTTTGTGAAATATATAGCAAATGAGGTTTGTGAGAAGTTGGCAGTGATGGGTTTTAGCACAAACATGATAAGCTACTTAACTCGGCAGCTTAACATGCCATTAACAAAAGCAGCCAACACTCTCACCAATTTCGGTGGAACTGCAAGCTTGACGCCGCTGCTCGGAGCCTTCATTGCCGACGCATACGCCGGCCGCTTCTGGACTATAGTCGTTGCTTCCATCATATATCAGTTAGTAAGTTCACTACTTACACAACAATATTAGATATTCAAAAAAATTACGAGAAAGTTTTTTTTTTTTAAATTTTAAAAGTACAATTATCGATTGCAATTATTCTGTGGCACACATTCAATCATTTTTAAATTTATATTATATATCTTAAAATATCAATAAATCTAAGTGCACAGATCAAACATGGAATATGACATAGATATCCTACAATGATTTATGTTGTTTGATCTGTGTAAATCTTAGTATATTTTTTTTGATTGGCAATGTAATCTTAGTATTGATGTTAAAATATTTAGAAGTGTTCAAAAAATGAAGTGAGTGAACTAAATTATTATACAACACACATCACACTAAATTTAAATTTGGAAAAATTATAAAATAAAAAATAAAAAATCTTGAGTTTGACCCTTGTAATAAAATGAATCTTAAAATTTTAATTTGATCAATTTAAACTCTAAATTTTTTATTTATTTTCAATTTATATCAGCTGTCTATTTCGTTAAGCAAAATTAACAATATATATATACTTTATTGTAATGATAATTATTCGAACTTCTTTTTGAATTCGCAACTTTTTCTATAGTCTAAAGATAAAAGTATCACCACGTTACCACGTAAAGCCATTTAATTTTAAATTGTATGCATCCAAAGTTCCAAACACGGGAAATGAATAAACAAAAAGTTGTCAACAATTATGTGCATATTGCTTACCTCATGATGGTGGAACTAGAACATTGAATCGAATTTTCTCATAATTATCGGGGAGGGAAAAAAAAAATCCCATATCTCACAAATAATTATTCATTTTGTAATGCTTTTTGAGCAATTATTTATAGAAATAATTAGATTGATCATATAATCGTAATCACATATAATTATGACAATGACCATCCACCATTTTGAATTCAAATATAATTTAATTATGTGGTTATTGAAGTCTAGTGAATTTAAATTTTTTGCATAATAGTATGCTCAAAGAACCTTAAGAAAAAGGGATTGAATCATTAGAGTTATCTCACGGTGAGCTCAAAAAGGGCCACCAGACCAGTCTAGTTGGCTTTGTCAATTGGGGACAATTTTTTTTTGTTTTGGATAAGCAAGTCATATTATAATAAAAAAAGAAAGATATACAATGGAGTTCAATACACATCTTTTGTAGGGAGAATAAACATAAACAAAAACAAACTACTCCCTCAAAAGAAACAAACTAAGCCTATAGATGACAAACACAACAAAGGATTCAAAATTTCCCTTTAGTACTCTTCAAGTAATAAAATTTCGCTTTGAGTTTTCTTCTATTATTCTCCTTTGTAGTCTCTCCATTAATGGGATCACTTGGAGATGGATTCCCTCTACTTTTTAGGCTCTTCGTTTGACACAACAACTCTTGATTTAATTCTCCATTCCCCAACTCTCTGATATCACATGATTCAAGGACATCAAAAGCATTAGATGTTGATGGGGTAAAACGTTGCGTCTCTCCCTCTTTGTTTATGTGAAAACCCACATTTTATTATTTTTAAAAGAAGAAAAAAAAAATTTAATCTTGTATTAGGATTTAACTATGTTGTGACGTTGTGTGTGAACTTGTAGTTTTATTTTGTCGTTGGACTTTGGCTTTGTAAGAACTTAAAAGTTCCTAATTAGTAGTTAAAACTTTATCTAGCAAGTTATTGTTATTTAAATCTTATGATTTACCAAAAAAAAAAATTGGGGCGTTACAGTTTATCACTGTTGTTGAACCTTGCTCATCATCTCTCCCTTTTTTCTTCACCACTTCTCACTTAGTTTGAACTTGTATGTTAGTCTCCTTGACTCTCCATTCTTGTTTGGAAGATGGAGAGTTCAAAGTCTTTGGCTTCTGAGGGCACAAATTAGCGGCATGATCAAAAGTCTTACAAGCATCACACCTTTGCGGCTTCCATGGAACTTCAACTTGAATCTCATATGGGTTACTACAACCAAGATTTATTTTGAAAGACTTAGGAATCTCTTTATTTGCTGGCACTTCAATACATATTCTCGCAAACGTAAGTCTGCTTCTTTTGAACGTAGGCTGAACGTAGGCTTATCCAAATAAAGAGGAGTTCCCATGATGCTAGCAATGTAACCCAAGCCTTCTTCAGTCCAAAGCTCCAAAGGAACATTATACAACTTCACCCACAACGGCACACTTGAAAATTCACACTTCGTTAGTTTTAGTCCACGTTGCCATGTTTTAACAACAATCAATCTAGCCCCAGCGTAATAGGGGCCATCTTCCAAAATTTTGTCTATAGCCTCTTCACTTTTTACTTTAAAAATAAAAAACCCGTTATCAATGGAGACAACATCTTCAAGCAAATTTTTCCAAAGTTTCTCCGCCCAAGTTTTTACATAATGGAAATAGAATCTTTTATCAATGAAGTATCCAACCAAGGCATTTTCCCAATCAGAAAAGCCTTTTTTTGAGATCTCTATAGGGACATTGTACATGCCATATTGTACATGCCATCTACTAGGTTCTCAATCTTATGGGCACCTATTTTATACTTCATTTTTGACACCTTATTAATCTCTTCTTTAAGTAAAGAGCTCCAAGCTTGTAAAGGCTTACCTGTTATAACAGTTGTTTTAAAAATTACAAATACACTCCTTGATATTTGATTAAAATATGATCGTCCACTATGGTTTTAAAAATTACATTTCACCCCTTGATGTTTCTAATTTCATAACAAATCGTCACTTTTATTAATAAATTATCAAGTCAATTAACAGTTTTTAATATATTAAAAATATGTTTCAATTAATGATTTAGGTATTTTTATTATTGCATAAGAGAGCAATTATGAATTTTATTTTTTTAGTTAATTCTATTAAATAAAAAAATCTAATAAGGGGGTATTTGTAATTTTTCAAACCATATGGGGCAATCTGTATTTTAAGCAAACCTCAAGGGTGTATTTGTAATTTACCCTTAAATAAATTATACAAAAAAAACTTCAGTTAATAACTATTTATTGTATGATTTGGTGATAATCTCATTCATATTATCTTAATCATATCTTTCATTAACTTGGTACTAAAAAAACTAAAGATCCTTGTCAACATTTATGTCAAGAAACAAATGTTTATGATTCCCAAATTCATTTTAGTTAATTATTCTAATAAATAACTTTTCTTGCAATTAGGGCATGACAAGCTTAACAATATCAGCAGTACTACCACAATTAAGGCCTCCCCCATGTAAAAAAGACAATCAAGTATGCCAACAAGCCAACAGTGGGCAACTAGGAATCCTCTACATCTCACTCCTCCTAACAGCCCTCGGAGCTGGTGGGATCCGACCCTGTGTGGTGGCATTCGGGGCGGACCAATTCGACGAAACGGATCCAAAACAAAAAACCAAGACATGGAAATTCTTCAATTGGTACTATTTTTGCATGGGCGCTTCAATGCTTGTTGCAGTGACAGTGATTGTCTACATTCAGGACTATGTTGGGTGGGGATGGGGACTAGGAGTTCCATCCATTGCCATGTTTCTTTCTATCGTTGTGTTCGTGGTGGGTTACCCGTTGTACCGGAATTTGGATCCAGCGGGTAGCCCATTTACCCGATTGTTACAAGTTTGTGTGGCTGCATTTAGGAAAAGAAATTTGGATATGGTTAGTGATCCTAAGTTGCTATATGAGAATGAGGAGATTGATGCTTCTATTTCTGTTGCCGGAAAGCTTCTTCACTCTAAGAATATGAAGTAAGTCTCTCTTTTTTATCCCTTTCTCTATATATATTTGTGGTATAATAGTATTTTTGCTACTGTTTTTGGTTTCTGTTTTCTGTTTTCAAACAAAAATTATAAATTATATTTTGAAAATTGATAATTGTTTTTACAAAAGAAAATTTAAAGCAATTGGCATTTCCAAACTTTATATTGTTTTGTTTTTAAAGATATGAAAATAAAAATATTAAAGTCACAATTTGCCTAGCAAAGTGGTAGAAACCTCATCTTCTATATCACTAAGGATGAGAACATATAATTAAAACAAATGGATTATAAAGTTATAATAGGTTGAAATTTATTTTTAATGTAGATTCACCATAACTAGGTTTAATCCTCATTTTTCATTATATTTTATGTGGACCATTTATGATTCATTTTTTGTATTCTTAATATTACTTATATAGATCAATGTCTGAAATGAATTAAGAAATATCTAGGCTCTGTTTGGTTTTATTTTGAAATCATGATTCCATTCTCATATTCCAATCCTCTGTTTGATTATAGTTTTTAAAATATGATTCCAAATCACATTTTAAAACATATTTGAAAACATGTTTGGTAATCAGAGAGTTTTTGAATATTTGAGTCTACTCGGTCATCAGTCCGGACATCCTCCCGAACAGTTTTTGAATTTTTGGGTGTACCCGAACGTCAAGCCAATTGACCGAAATAGTGCTTTTTTTTTTCTTTTTTTTTCTTTTTTTTGGCAATTGCAATATGTTATTTTATATATATATATATATATATATATATTTGTTTTTGATATTTTTTAAAAATAGAAATTATTTTTTTAGACCAAAATGACAAATTATTTGGCCATTTATTTAAAATTAACAGAAAAAATTAAATAAAAATTAATTTGTCACAATAATTTTTAAAAAATAAAAAAACATTTTTAAACAAAACAATTAAAAAAAATTCCAATCAAATATACAATCAAAAATAATTTTAAAGCACTAGCTGAATATTTTTTAAACAAAAAATAATATATTTTTTAATATTTTAAATAAAAAATATTTTCTGAATTTTTGAATTTTTAAATAAAAAATTTATTTTTTTCAATAATTTTTTTTTTGAATTAAATTTTGAAAAGAGTTTGATTATGAGTTTTGAATAGAATTTTTGATAGAATTTTATTTTTTCAAATCATGATTCAACAATTCACAAATTCAAAATGCAACTCTATTCTTAAATCATAATTCTAAAACTAAATCAAACGCTACCTAAATTTCTAAATAGACTATGCTTCTTTCTATCATTTATTAAAGCATTGTTATATATATACACATGTATATTGCATAATAGTTTATTTTTTTGATGACTGAGTGTCTGGATCAGTTTATGCGCATCTCGACTAATCGTAGGATTTATGCAAAGTGCCCCCTCCACGTGGATTGGGAAATCTCGAGTAGAGCCTGTGTTTGTGGCCTTAAGAGGCGAATTGCTCTTAATGAGAGTTAAACTTGAGATCTAAAGGAAGCACACTCCTAAATTCTAACTTGCACCCAGTAAGCCAATCCTCAAACAAATAAATAAATACTGATAATCACAACCTCATTATCCTCTTCCAAAAGTTGTTGCTTTAGGTGCATGCACAAGTGGCTATAAGAGCGGACGAGCTTTTATCTTGATGGCTCTCTCCATGTCAAGACATTTTGAAGCTCAACAATTGATGATTCATAGCAATTTAAAAAAGAAAAGGAACAATGAGAATCAAATTTTTTTTATTAATAAATAAAAGACACTATAATCCAAAGGAGACATAACAAAATCTTTGTACAAACATTATAAATTATTTCAAGCTCTTGAGAGGATCATCTTGGGTAAGAACAAAAGTTTTAGAAAAAGTGGAGACTAAGACAACTCGGTTTGTGGTTACCATATCACCATCAGCATCTCATGGATCAATTATTTGTACTTGTGTTCATACTAATGGCTGCACATGCGCATGTGCAGTAGCAGATCGAGATTTTTTTAATTTTTAGCTAAATATTTAAATGAGGCACTATGCTCATAGTCTTTCTAAAATTGAACCATTTTAAGTCATTTTTTTGCAGTTATAAAATTTTAGTAAATTTCATAAATTGTTTGTAAGTTTGAAACAATGAAAATAGATATTAAACGAGTTTATACTAACAAATTTCAAAACTTTCATAAATATAAATATAAAACTATAAACATAAGCATTACCAAACAAACTTTTCTATTTTATGTTTTGTTTCCTATCTTTTTCCTTCTTTTTTCCTTCACCGTCCACAGGGTACATCCAATCACAAGTTAGGGTCATTGCATGTGTGGACAATGCCACACCACCGTCCACAAGGTACACCCAATCACAAGTTAGGGTCATTGTACGTGTGGACAATGCCACACCGCACATCTCTTGAAAGGAGCACCATATGTATATATGATTCTCTACGATTTCTTTTGTGCTTTGGGTAATGAATATTTTCACTTTTGTCATATAGTTTGCTCTTTTTGCTAACCAACAAAAATCCTTTGTCATCTAGTCCTTCGTTAATTAGGACGCACCCCAGTTAAACCATTTTCTCTTTAGTTCCATGTATTAGGGCTTATCAATTTGGTTGATAATGGCCCAAGAGTGCTGAAAAATAATATCAGCCTAGGGCAGGTCTGTTTCACAAATTGCCAAAATAAGTTCCAGATTGGTATCCAAGTTATATCATTATTTGGGATTTTGTGTGCGTGGATGCCATTGAAATTTTTAATATTAGGGTAAACTACCAATAGATCCTAATAGTTAGGTTTAATTCTCATCAAGTCCTATTGAAAATATATCTTGATAAAATTGTCGTTAAAAATAATTTTTTTGTGACAATTTTTTGCATACGTCTTTAGAAATTGATAATTAGTGACCTTTTTTTGTCATGATTTTTATAAATTGTCGTTAAAACTTGTAATTAGTGACTTTTTTTATGACAATTTTTTCATTGGACCTATTAGACAATAAATCTACTTATTAATACCTACATGTAAGTGCCTCTATTAAACATATAAATGACAAATTTTCATTTTTAATGTTTAGAGTTATCTTGCCCTGGCCCCTAAATAATTAGTAAAACTTATTTGCTAATGAAAAAATAATTAAAAACATTCAAATTGTTTTACTAAGCATCCTATCTTTTTAAAATATAGTTAGTAATGGATAAAAATTTTAAGTTAAATTGGCTACATATAAATTATAGGTCATAGTCGGGTATCTTCGGGCATAATGATGTGGACATAAATTTGTTACTTTTTAATATTGATGTAGACTTTCTCTAGATTCTAAGGGCTTATCTGAAATTTTATTACAAATTATTTTTAATTTTAAGAAACAAAAAATAAATAAGAAGAGTGTGGGTGCAGCTTCTTGATTGCTTTTAACAACGAATGAATTCTCTAAAAACAACTTGGTTTTGTAAAACTACTTTGAAAATCACATTAATTCAATACCAGAAACGTTTCAAAAACTCCAAATTTTCACAATTGAAAACCAAAAGGGGAACATAAAAATTAAATTTCAAAAATGATGCCAATGAGATTATAAGTTTTTTTCTTTCTTTGTTTTCCTCATGTGATTAAACAAACAGTCAACAATGAAACCGTTAAGGGCATTGGCTTGCACCTAACTATGATCTGGGATGGGCCTTTTACTTGGGCCGGTGGGCCTAGAACCTCTAGAAATTTGAGATTTTTTTTTTGTTTTGTATATTTATAATATATCGGAAATTATTATCACAACCATGTCTATAAGTATATTAAATAAATTTGTAATTATTTTTAAATATAAAATTTTTGATTTATCGATGTAAATCTTTACTCTAAATTTATTTTACTTACCATTTGATGGGTGACATATGAACACCACTAACATCAAATAATTGAGGATGTGCCACATATCAAATGGTAAAATAAGCGTTTGTTTGATGTCATTTTTTATTTATTTATTTTTTTTGTTTTTAAAGAAAATTTGAAATGACTCATTGTTCTTAATGACTAATATTATGAATCATGAAAAAAATATTATAAAATGCTTTATGAAAATTTTTCATCCTTTGATTAGTGTGTGGTGTTTTCTTGTATGTACAATCTAATGGTAGAGAATCTTTCATGATCATTTTCATGATATTATTTTCATGATACCTAACATTTTTTGTGTGAAAGTAAAAATTTTGAAAAATTCACAATGATTTTTTAGTCACGATAACAGTTTTTTGAATAGTTCATGAAACAGATTTTATATGTTTTCTCAAAAATTAAAACAAAAACCAAAACACAAAAACAATACCAAACATCTGTCGAACACTTCACCAAAAAAAATAAAATATATCAATGTCAACAATCAACTTTTGTCACTCATTTTTATTTTTATCTATGCTCTCTATATTACGGATTGAGATCCTCTTTTTTACATGGTTGTAACGACACACTTGATTGTACAGATTTTTGGATAAAGCAGCCATTGTAACTGAAGAAGACAACACAAAATCACCCAACCTATGGAGGCTAAACACAGTCCACCGAGTCGAAGAGCTCAAATCAGTGATTCGAATGGGACCGATATGGGCTGCTGGAATCATCCTCATCACAGCCTATGTCCAACAAAACACCTTCTCCCTCCAACAAGCCAAAACCATGGACAGACACCTCACACCCTCCTTCCAAATCCCCGCTGGCTCCATGACCGTCTTCACCATGACCTCCATGCTCGCAACCATCGCCTTCTACGACCGCCTTTTCATCCCTGCCATGCGTTCCTTCACCGGCCTTGACCGTGGTATTAGCTTCCTCCACAGGATGGGCATCGGTTTCGTCATTTCAATCGTAGCCACCTTAGTGGCAGGCTTCATCGAAATCAAACGAAAACACGTCGCCTCGGATTTTGGTTTGACCCACAAGCCGCATGCAATCATACCCATGTCGGTTTTTTGGCTCGTGCCCCAATACAGCCTTCATGGGGTGGCAGAGGCATTTATGTCAATTGGACACCTAGAGTTTTTCTACGATCAGGCACCGGAGAGCATGAGGAGCACCGGTATGGCATTGTTTTGGACTGCGATTTCAATGGGGAACTATGTGAGTACTCTTATGGTTTGGATTGTGCATAAGTTGAGTGCAGGTCCTGGCGGATCAAATTGGCTTCCGGATGGGAATTTGAATGTGGGGAAGTTGGAGTATTTTTACTGGTTGATCACATTGTTGCAAGTTGTTAACCTTTTTTACTACTTGTTATGTGCCAAATTTTATACTTTCAAACCCATTCAGATCGAAAGGAAAGAAGATGGTGAGCCCAAGGAAAACGGGGTTGAACTAGCTAGCCATGTTTAGTTTCCTCTTTTCTATCTGTACTATGAGCTTAATTTTTTAGATCAATCAGCTGATTATGTGTTTTAAATAGTGATAGAATGGTAGCTCCCTCTCCTTGCCATATTATTATTTTCTTTCTTTTGTAGTTTAATATTCCAAGCTTGGTTTTGCATACGAAAACAATTCATGATGGGAATATACCAGTATGAAATCCTTTCAGTACATATACCTTAAAAATTTGTAAATTATATAGATTTTGTAACGTAATTTTTTTATTTATTTATAGAGTTTCTGTACGGGAAAGAAATAATTCTCCTCGTATAATCCTGTTGACTAAGTCTACGCTCCTCTGTACGACGTCGCTTTGTCACCTAAAAACACAAACGTGAGCTAGCCGGCGGGTGTGTGCCGGAAACCTCTCCGATGCTTAAGTCAGCAAACTTGACAAATAGACAAAGCTCAATGTATTCAGAAAGCAAAATTGTATGTTGTGTTTTTGTGTTACCTCCTCCAAGGTGATGTTTATGAGCTTTTATAGGTTTCGAGTGGCACAATCCTAGTAGGACTTCTATTCCTCCATGCAGAGTCCTCCTAGGATTCATACTCCTACAGGATAATGCTTATCCTTTTACACCCTCTCCCACTGCTTAAACCAAGTGGGATGGTTTCTACCATGGCCGAACTACCATTTGACCGAAGTAAAACTGGCTATGCTGAGCCACAAAGTAGGCCGAATTATCATTGGTTCGGTTTTGTCTCTTGTTACACCTTATCTCGGTTCTCCCTTGTATGAACCATAGTGTGTTGGGACCGAGCTACCGAGTAGCAAGGTCCTAACCAATCTATCCAGAATACGTCACGACCGGTCTAACTTGGAGACCGGACTAACTCCAAGCTGTCCAGACCGAAGTAACTTAACAACTTTCCGGGGCCGGAGTAACTTTATCACTCTTGGGCCGGGGTAACTTTATCTCATCTTGGGCCGAAATAACTTTTCGGCCTTTTTACCCAGTCCTTCATACTTTGGGCCATAAAGTCCATCTCATAGCTCGGCCCAATTTTTACCAAAAATTACCCTCTCAATTGCCCCTTAATTCCATCTGCACAGCATGATTGGGATTACCTGTCTACCAGTCGAGCTGAAGTTTTTTTTTTTTGTAAGCCTTTCCAGCCGAACTAAAAAATCGTTTAGCCTCTCCAGCTGAGCTTATTTCACTCCGACTCTACTCGTTCAGTCAAAACGTCTCTTCAATCACAGTGACTGTAACGCTTCACTTTCCGATGACACGTGGCAGGCTCTGATAGGCTGTGGGCAGCTATCACACTGCCCTTGTACTACGAAAATTTTGAACAGTTCTCGCTTTTTCTCTCTCGTCCTTTTCACAAAACAACCCTTCTACCCTTGAATCATTCACCTTCTTTGTTCATCTTCTTCCCTCTTCGTGCCTCTGCTTCTCCAACCTCTGAGTTCCTTGAGTTTGTGTTCTTCGCTGATGCTGTTGCTCCCCTCTTCAGCTTCATCTTCCTCTGGTAAGCTTCAAAAAACCTGTTTTGCGTTTCTTCTTTTTGCTTTCTATGTTTTTGCGAAACATGCTTGTCCATTTTTGTTTTTGTTTTTGCTTCTGAACTTCCATGGAAAAACATTAGCAGAACTCATGCGTGTATGAACTATTCTGTAGAAAACTAGTCTTGGATCCAAAATCATGTAGCAACCGAACTAGGATACTGTTTGTCCTATATAAGTAGATCACTTTAGATAATAATCGAACTAGAACTTGTAGAAATAACAGCAGTTTCAGTAGGTTACCAACTCCTGAATCACTCTGGCCGAGATAAGCTCATTGAACGAAGTTTGAACTCATTAAACTAGGAACCTCGGTCTTCAACCGAGCTAAGCCTTTGGGGCTAAACCAGCTTTCCTAGTTTCTGAACCAAACTCAGAAAGCTGCCCTTAGAGGCTCAACCGAAGTAACAAAACTTGTAGTACAACCGATTTAGGCCTTTGGGGCTAAACCAGCTTTCTTAGTTTCTTAGACCGAACTCAGAAAGCTGCCCCTAGAAGATGAATCGGTCTAACAAAATTGTTTCCAAAGCCAGTATGCCGAAATGCTCACCAAGGTCTTGGCTAATAAAAACCCTGCTCAAACCGAGCTACCAAGCCTTTTGCTGAAATTCGAGATAGAACCTGTCCATAGAGCCGAAGTAGGGCTCTTTTACCTTGCTTTTAATTTGTAGCACGGTCCTATGATCTGTGCTTAACCCCTTTGTTTTCTACTTTGCAGACTTAGGTTGCCTAGGCACTCCTTCGTGCGCTCAACCGAGCTACTGAGCACAATTTTTGCACCGATATAACTTATTCGTAAATTATACAACAAATGGGTAAGTATAGGTACCTCGTAGACACTCCAGGCGGCCTAGCCGAATTTCGAAAGGACTATAATATACCTGACGACGTCCACTTGTCTTTAGCCGAAAAGGATGTCATTCCCTGGGATAATGAAGGCTTTGTTCCCTTCACCCTCTTATCCATAATCGAGACCGGACTACGATTTCCAGTCCAACCTTTGATATGTGAATTCCTTAGGCAAACTAGACTATGCCCAACCCAACTGTCCACCAACTCCTACCGCATCATAATGGGAATAGCCGAACTGAATCGCCAAGCCGGACTAAACCTTGGCCTAGCCGAAATCTTCCATCAATATTCCATTGGCTCCAAAGAAGATGGGTGGGTCTATTATCTTAGGATACGTCGCCGCCGAGAGAAAATAATAAAATATACACCGGACAAAGACTTCAACGACGACGACTTTTTCTGGGTCTCTGGGAACTTTGAGGATTTTCAAACCCAGATTCCTAGCCGACCTATAAATTGGAAAAAAGGAGAGCCCGGTAATTTAACTTCGGTCTTCTTCCTTGCATTTTTTTTATTTCGGTCTTTTTAATTTTTCAGCCGGACTAACAGTTGTCTTTTTTCGCAGATTCTGGCCACCTTCACTCTTTATACAGCTACCCAAACCTAGCCACTTTGCGCGCCGCACTACGGTATCCTGAACGTAGTTGGGCCAAATTGCTGAAATTCGAGCCGACCTACCGATACAGTGGTCGCCGGAAAGCCAAAGTAACTGACTTTCTTCTTGAAGAGGCCCCAGAACCAGACCCATCCTTGCCTGAGATTAGACTGATCCCACTAATAGCTGAAGAAGAGATGGCAAAAAAGAACAGAGTCAGGGCGCTTTTAACCGAGACAATTCTCAACAGCCGTCCTCTTCCCGCCGAACCAAGCGCGCCCGGACTGTCGAAATCGAACGAAGTTTGGTTGATGAACCTGCTCTTCCACCGAGCTTGCCACCGAGCCCCCAACCGGAGCCTTCTGACCGAACTACCGGTAGCTGGGCACCAAAACTTACTTTCAACGACCGAGACATCCAAGACTTAGACTCGATTGTTGCTGAGAAGGATCACCAGTTGGCCTTCAACCTGGCCAAGAGTGTGTGCCTCCCCAAAGACATGGAGCATCACCAAAAACAACTAAACACCGAACTGAAGGTCATCCGGTCTTCAACAAAATCCATGATTCTGGTAAGTAACTTCGGCCGTTTTTCTGTCTACTTTCTTTTTCCAACTTTTACTTCGGCTAAAGGGAAATCTTTTGCTTTTTCAGGCCATTCAAAAAAACCACATCACTCATAGGAAAGTGCTAGAGCTTAGGAAAACTACAAGGCAAGCCGTGGCAGAAGTCGAAGCGAAGGCAACTGAGCTAGAGGAGGCCAGAAAGTAGATGGCCGAGCTCCGAGATGAGAACGGCCGACTGGCCGGATTGGTTAGTTCGGCCGAGGCAGAAAGGCAGAAGGCTGCCATTGCTCTAAAGGACAAATACCTGCGCGAGCTGGTGAAGCTTGAAAAGAAGAAAGATACCGAGATAAACCAGCTGAAAGAGAGCGCCACATGAGCCGAAAAGAAAGGCTTCAAGAAGGCAGAGGATATATATGTCAAGCAGTGTGAAGCCGCCAAGGAACTGTTCTTTAAGTGCGGCTGGAGGGGAGCCGTTGAGAAGCTCGGTCATGATCCACAGACCGAGGTTTTTAACCCTCCAGCCTACTTCATACCGAACTCCCTTATGGAGTATGCTAATGCCATGCAACAGCAGTTTCTTGAAGGCTCAGACTCTGATGAAGATTCTGCTTCTGAGGACACTCCGGTTGTCAATGTAGACCAATCAGTTTGGCTGGAACCCATGGTGGAAGACCTGACTGTTGAACAACCAGGTGAAACCGTGGTTCCGACCAAAACCACCCATGCGACCGAGAATGAGCTCCCGCCTGATGCCGGTCTTCATGTTGATGCCCATGCAGCTTTTGATGCCGAAATTGAAGAACTTTTCTCCTGATTTTGTACTATTTCCCTTTTTTGTTACCTTTTGTCTTTGTAACCGGGCTATGCCCCCTCTATAATTGTTTTTTAATGAATGAAAATTTTGCTTGAACTCTTATTCCGGTTTTGATTTGTATGCTTGCAGTTGATCTTTTTATGTCCAACGTTTATCTCGGTTTTTGCTTGTTCGAACTAACCTATGCTTACCAGCCAACCACTCCTTAGCTGACATAATTACTTCGGCTGAGGAGTACTCAGAGTTGGTTTTAGTCCAGCCAACCACTCTTCAGCCATACCCATACTTCGGCTGAACAGTACAAAGAGTTGGTTTAATCCAGCCAACCACTCTTCAGCTATTCCCATACTTCGGCTGAGGAGTACAAATAGTTGGTTTAATCCAGCCAACCACTCTTCAGCCATGCCCATACTTCGGCTGAAGAGTACAAAGAGTTGGTTTAATCCAACCAACCACTCTTCA